ATCGAATAAAATAACTGTCTACAGTGCTAACATACAACGCCATCCGGTCATCAATTCTTCAAGAGCCGGGTGCAGTGGACGCTTTTTTTGGCGCCCAGCGAAGGCATTATGGATTAAGTACACCTTACTCTGTTATTGATATCATGTTGCCTCTTTTATTATACTAGAATTAATGTAGAATGATCCCTGTGACAGTTCATAAAAATCTAATAAATGTAACCTTGTAACGACGTGTACTAATTTATAAAGTATTTTTATAATTTTTTTTTATAATATATAGTGATGAGACGAACAAGTCGTGCGCCTGATGGTAAGCTACACGCCTGTCCACAACAGTTTCAGTGCCACTCAGAGCTTTAAATCGCAAAGATTCAAGGGGCACTGCCACTGCGCACGTCATTCACCCTGAAACATACTTCCGGAGCTTACTTTAGTAGCAGTAGAGGCCCTTGTGAAAGAGTTCATCCAGGGTACTGCCCCCATACCTATTTCTACCGCCAAGTAGTAATGTGAGCACTACTGCTTTACGGTTTATTTAGTGATTGCGTATTTATTGGCAGTAGAGTTTTTTTAGAAAAAGTTCGTCCAGAGAAGTACTACCTTACTTCGCTCCGGTTTTAAAGGACGCTGGTGAAATTACAGGCACATGGGACTTGTTAACTTATATCCCAGGGTGACGGGCGCAGTGGCAGTTCCCTTCAGATCTTAGCGATTTGAAGCTCTGAGAGACACTGCTACTGCTATGGACAGGCGTGTCACTTAACACCAGGCGTACGACTCGTTCGTCCCGTTGCTTGGTATTATAAGAAAAATGTTGCCGTACGACATTCTCCTTGGTCATCATGGTGCTATTTTCCCTGAAAGCAGTACTTAACAATTCCCTGTCTGATATAACACATATAAAAAAAAGTCCCGCTTTTAAGTTAATAACTTTTGTTTACGTATTTACGTTAAATTAAAGTAAAAATAACAATGAATTAATGTTTATTTGTAAGAAATGAGTAGTTCGAATTGTTTTTAAAATAAAAATGAAGTCTTCTTTCAGTAAAATGTACTATCTACGGTATTTAAGGTACTTTCTGTCCATGTGGCATAGCTGTAGGACGCCCAGTATAATAATTTTCTTATTTTGTAATGGAAATGGTAAAAACAAATGCAAAATAATTTTGTATATTTACTGTTTTTAGTAGCAGTAGAGCTCCTTGTGAAAGAGTTCTTCCAAAGAAGTACTGCCACCTTACCTATTTCTGCCGCCAAGCAGTAGTCACCATTACTGTGTTCCGGTTTTGAAGGGTAAGGGTGCTGGTGAAATTACAGGCACATGGGACTTGTCAACTTATGTCTCACGGTGACGGGCGCAGTGGTAGTGCCCCTCAGAAATTTGCAATTTAAAGCTCTGAGTGGCACTGTAACTGTTATGGACAGGCGTGTTGTTTTCATCAGGCGCACGACTTGTTCGTCCTGTCACTTGATGTTATAAAAAAAAAAATTCAGTATAAAAGGATTTCTATTCCATTTCCAGTTGCTGTTACCCATTGTTTACACCTGAAAAAAAAGATAGTTTGACTTAAAATGTATAATTATATATTTTAAGCCTAAAAGAAAAATACCAGAAATGATAATATTGTACGAATTTTTTGTAGTTGTACGTTTCATGTAGGTATAATGAGCGGTACTATCGATAATAATTCATTGTAATGTGAGACCCAACGCTATTGCTTTTCATGAATTTTATTAATCTTAGCCGCACAACGAAATTAATGTGTTATACTACATTTTATACAACTTTATTACTTGTTTACGTGATATTCTTATACTCACCGATTTTCGTCTAGTGGAAATCGTGGCATGAAAATTTTTTTTGGCTGTTTACCCGGCTTGTTTTAATACGGCATATTGCGCATGTTATTTAGTTTGTTTTACTCTTAATAGGATTTAAAACACATAATATTTCTTAATACATGTAACAATGCACATAATGATAGCTAAAATTACAAAAATTATTACTTATTTAAGCATCACGCAACGACATCACGGAATATAACAAACGGTGTCAACATCAACGTCAAATGAGAAAAAATGGCAGCTACATAATACGCCCACTTTCAAAAGTGCTTAGACAGCACGTAGTTGCATTAGATGAAGGTTTCTTTTTGATTTGAATGGCTTAGAGTCGCCATTAACACGTTTAGACCGGCGTGTACCACCGGTGGAACACGGACCGCTAGTCCGTCAGGCGTAGTGCCTAACCGGTGGTCACACAACACTTGATTTTTGGTATACTAAGAAACCCACGCCGCTTTGAGAGAAAGTGGTAAATTTAAAGTTTCGTCTATGCAAAAGTCAAATTTCCATAGTGTAGCTCAGGAGTTTGATATTGTGTAAGACAGTACAAAAAATCTAGGTTAAAAAACATTAAAAAGAAGATCTAGTAACGTACATAATAAAAAAAGAGAATAAACATACTAAATGATTTCTGAAAATTGTATTAAAACAGTTAGAACTAGCAAAAAAAAATTACTTAACACAATAGGTTAATTAGAAAGAGATAAAGCATTATTTCGCCGTGTCCACGGGTGGCGCACCCCGTCGCGACACATATTATGGTTGATGGGGCGATGATGTACTACCACCGGTAGCTATGTGAGAATCTTTCCCGCCGGACAACAAATAATGGTAATTAGGTTCCCAGTCTGTACGTGTTCAAATCACTGCCTGTTTCTTACGTTGTTTTTCTTCTTAGGAGTTGTGCCAGCCTGATACCTATGACAAACGTCGAATAGAAAGTGTCACAGGGATTATCCTATTTAGAATTTAGTATATATTTATGTACAGTGAAATGAAATGAAATGAAATTTATCTACATTATTCTTGTAGGTTATTAAGGTGCATCTACGCCTGAGGACTCTTCCGATTTTGTCTGTATGGAACAAGATTTTTTAAAGATATTTAAAGAGCTCTTCAAATGTGTTCAATAGCCCTAAAAACAAAACATAAAACTTTAAACGTTTTATTGTAAATTTTTGCAAATGTAAGTTAAGACTCTGTTCGACCGGAGCTTATGTATATATATACATAAAACTCACGCCCTTGCCGTTCAGGAGAGGTAGGTAGAGATCACGGAACGCCGCCTTATTATGACGTGATAAGAAATTAAGTTAAGAGTTTTAGAACCCAGCTTCACTTTTAGGTCTTTTCGTAATAAAATGATTTGGTTAGATGTCTAGGCACTGAAACCATTTTTTTCGGCTCTAAATCAGCTCTAGACCTTTCACAGATCCCACGATCACGGATGACTGATGGGACCTGTAAAGCGCCAGAAATGTTGGTTTGTTTGATAAACAAATATGCTCTATTTAGAGCCGAAAAAATAGTTTCCTTCTGTACGTGTAACAATCGCGAAAACCTCAGATCTTAAATTTGTATTGAATTGATATTCTGTTATTTTTTTGTAAAATTACTCCACTAGACTGTTATAAGTATTAATACAAAGATCAAACACTTAGAAAGCTTAGTTGGCACGGCGTCTGGCACGGTTTGTTTGAAGACGTTGGTCCAAATCCGGCCGGATCGAAGGAATATTTTCTAAGTGTGCGTCTTTGTATGAATAATTATGACAAACCTAAGAAATTAATTAGGTATTTTTAAAATACTGGAAATATCTTTTATTTCCCGGTAATTTATATTTGATCCGTATTGTTTTATTATATTCCCTTATGGCGCGCCGTTTGCATCGTGTGTGACGGCGAGGAAATTCAACCGTCCCAAAAGTTTTGATTTCGGGATAGGAGAAAACATATCAGACCTCAAAATTTAGGCAAAATTTTGTTTCTAACTTCTATGATTACATTTTCGATCTTATAAGTTTATAATTGGAAAGAACGTGGGCTTGTACACAGTTAACATCGGAAATAAATATTATGTTCTTACAGATACCAGTACATTTGCAATTCGGAGCAGTGTTACTTAGCTCCACTGTTTGCATTCTGCTATTTAATAAGTCGCGATTTTTGTGATTAAAAAAAAGAGACAAAGTAACTACTTGCAAAATCTCAAGATTCTTACGTTTATCGCTGTTGCATGTTTTATTACTTATTTCTGGCGTAATAATGTGAGCATTATTGCATTTCGGTTTTGAAGGGTAAGGATGATGGTTAAATTACAGACACATGGAATTTGTCTACTTTTGTCTCAAAAAAAAAAAAACAAAAAGGGTGACGGGCGCAGTGGCAGTGCACCTTAGATTTTTGCAATTATAAACTTAGAGCGGCACTGCTTCTGCTATGGACAGGCGTATCGCTTACTTACTACTACTACTTGTTAGTCCCGTTATTTAGTATCGTAAAAAACAATTGAGATCAATCAAAGCATTATTGATTTTCTTCTTAAGAAACATTATAAAATATCAGCGTTAAAGCTACGACTTAATTACAAATACGGCCTCGTTGAATGAACGGCTACCATGCTGGTCTGCCACGCAGAGCTCCCGGGTTCTATTCGCGGGCCGGGAGGAGTATTTGTATGGCCTACATTTATTTCTCTCGCGAGTTTGGGCGTAACTTCTGGTCGTCTATGTGTCTGTCCACTTTGCAAGTAAATACAAAGTGCATGTTCTTTTGTTAAGGCAGTAACACCACGAGAGGTCTAATTTCGCTAAACATTTATTATATTCTTATTCCGTAGCAAGGAAAGAAACGTCCTAGCAGTAAAAAATTTAATTGAGGAGAATAGACGAATTACATAGAATGAAGAGATTCCCCACATACTGCATATAGGATCGTGAAGTGTTCACAATATTCGTTTTTTTTTTTTAAATTATTAACTTAATCTAGGTTACATTATGTCATTGCTGGTGAGCTTCTTTCAAGCATGAAAATACTTGTGTGAGAAGCCACCGCTCTTCCAACCGCTACCGCTACCCACCTATGTGCTTGTCCGCATGCGAGCGCATCCACTGGTGCAGCAGCGGCGAGTCCCACCGGTCAATATAGACGTTCAGGATGATGTTGGATGGTCTACGCAGGCGGCTCAGCAGCGACGCAGTGCGCTTGCACAGGATAGCGTGGAAACCATCCATTGCCATCGCCGCGAACGGAAGCGCTGCAGAGCCGCAGCAGACCCAGCAGCACCCTGCGTTGTTATATTGTACGTTCAATGTGCCGGCTAATCGCTGCGTATATGACACCCAGCGGCTGCAAGGGTAGACGGATTGCCAGAAAGCATTGAATAGAGTTTTCTTGACTTCGTTGGAGGAGATCAAACAAACCGATTTTAGTTTTGCAAATATTTTTTGAGTGTCCAACGTATGAGGATATACTCATGATGTGTCTCGAGAATACACGTCTCACGATACGGGCGGAGAGGGAGTCTGTCTGGATCCAATACGCAAATAAGCTATGTTACTTATTGATTATTTATTTATTAGTTACACAAGCATTAAACATAGTTTTACTATACACTCTTAAACCTAAACTACGTACGATCGATTTTTTTTTTTTTAGTTTACCACTCGTTCTGTAAACATTGTACTTTGTCATTTGCGCTTTATTTACCTCAAAGTATTATATTCGAATTCGAAATTTATACTTAATTTCCTTGAATGAAGGGGCCACTACATTATACGAATTCGCATTAAGCCGGCCGGAAAATGTCTATGTAATAAGAGCAAAAATGTCGACGAGACGTTATGCGTTTCCCATTGGCGGTTCGGGCGGAAGTAAAACAAGCCACTTCTTTTTTTGATTAAAGAAGAATATATATATATATAAACTAAAACACAAATTATTGATGTAAGTAGGGGCTTTAGGTATAAAGAAACTTTTTGTGGTACCAGGGGCGGTAACAAAAGGGTACTAACTTAGTATTTGTTGGAAAACGCAATGCGTTCCCAGGACAGATTTTCATTAGGATCGTACATAAAGCGTTTTCTGATCGGCCCAAGTTGATTCTACGTTGACAAGTGTGGTTACTCCCTGATCTAAAGGAAACGACGTGTTCTGGTACTGACCTAAAAAAACTAAAAATAGATTTAAAATTGGTTACAAGCACAACTAGTTATATCATCATCAACTCATTTATACGTTCTACTGCTGGGCAAGAGTGGCTTTGTGTGGGTTGGGAACTTCACACGACAGTGAAGTACTGGCACCGTACCTATTTCTGCCAGTAAGAGTAATGTGAGCATTACTGCGTTCCGGTTTTGAAGGGTAAGCGTGCTGGTGAAATTATAGGCACATGGAACTTTCAACTTATGTCTCAGGGTGATGAGCGCAGAGGTAGTGCGCCTCACATCTTTGCGAGTTAAAACTCTGAGTGGCACTGCAACTGTTATGGACAGGCGTGTCGTTCCTCAAGCTAAACTTCAAATGAAATTTCGCACATAAATTCCGAAATGTTTAGAGGTGCGAGTCTGAGAGGCGGTAGGGCAACCCATTAGGCTACAACGGCTTTTTATTAGTATAATTAAGTTTTTTCTCAAGCAAGTTTCTTTTTGCAGCTCTCCTCGGTGGTACGTTGAAGACAATGCAGCAAGCGGCATGCGATGATGAAATAGTCTCCCTTGCCTGCCCAAGAGGAACTTCCATTAGCATCCAAGTGGCTGCCTACGGAAAGACAGCACCTCAAGGACATAACTGTATGACTGAAAGCACCAATTTTCGGGATATTGCGGTGGAGGTGGAAGGTGCTGAGAAATGTTTGTGGCCAAATTCTATGCAGGTTAGTTTTGCTACAGTTTTCCGCTCCATCATGGACCAATAACTCCAGAGGACTGTTAATCGCGATACAAGACACCGTAGTAGGGTTTTTATTAAATATTGGTACGCCAGATGTCGTGACGAGTACCTTACAGTTATTTTTGTAATTTGTTTTACATGATGGCTGCAATTTATCAAAGCTACTGGGGGTCTTTAACCTTACATTGACTTTTCGTACCATGACGCGCTTAAAGTAACTTTATGATAATGTTAAAACTATGATGTTTTATTGGCAGCTTTGTGACTATTCATTCACTCAGTTCGTACTATGACGCGACTTTAACATTAAAGTAATGTAGTTCTTATGTCAAGTTTAGCAGTCTTAAAATAATTTCTCGGACGAAGTGGAAACAATATTATTTTCGAATTTATTGTCTAAATATTGATTTGTAATGATTAAAAGTTAAGTTGAACTTATTTATTTACACACATCTCTACAATATTTTGTTTATTTTTTTATTTAATAGTACATAGGAAATAATTTCTCGTTAAAGAAAAATACGTTAAATAGAAATTCGTAAAATTATGACAACGAATTATGAAAACGAACAATCTTGCTCCTTGCCGACACTAACAATTGACTATAATTCCGAATTCACAACGTGACTATCAAGACTCAGCTTGTTTTATTTATTTTTATTCATGAAAATGCGGAAAAGTAATTGAAAACAACGTAATTTTAATAGATTACATTATTATATACTTTTCTTTTTTTGGTAGTTAAATTTCTCTGAATGTAAATAATATTAAGTACTTTAACATTATACTACGATGGGACGATTCGGAACATCAAAAAAGAAAGAGATGGCATTATAAACTTCATATAGCGTTATTTCTTTCCTATTTTTAGTAAGGAATAGATAATATTGGGAAATCATTCGTTCTTTCAGTCACTTTAGCAATAATACGTTACTTAGTTGATAGGTTTGTCATGGTACGAATATGAGTAATATTAATAATAAACTTACTTTAAGCTTACATTGAAATAAGATTGTTTTTGGAAATGTTATGGTAGGCCCTCAGAGAGTAGTATGTGACACGTCTTTCGTCAGTTCGATTTTTAAATACTGGATGTCAGTCCACCGGGATGCGAATTGTAAATGACAATTACCCATTTATTGTATTATTTCATTTTATAGTCATATTTTATTTTATTTTATTGCATCCTATAATTTATAATTTATTCTATATTATCTAAGGTTTATTAATATTTTTATTAATAAACACTCAAAATGTATTATTTTTGTAATGCCTGAATAAAATTAATGCCGGCTATTCTTTTATTTTGTTTAGGATTAGCGCCACCTACCCATATTAGAACGCGTTAATATGTAAATTAGTTTGTAATACACACTGCTCTCTATTGACACGCATATTTCTCTAAATTTAGTAATTAATTTTAGCTCATGATGAACATTTGAATAATTTTACAGGGAAAATAATATTGACTTCTTATATTTCATCTTGAAGAGGTGTTAATTGATACCCATTAGTCCAGGCTATTGATCAGCGCCGTCTAGACACCTGTTTCAGAGTTATGATCAGTAGTATAATAGTCCTCTTGAGTTATAGGTCCTTGGCTAAATTAATATAAATTTTATATTTTTGAAAGGTTTGGACATCTAATTATATAAACTGTTGCTATTTTAAACTGCATTTCGGAGTGTTATCTAAAAGAGACATAAAGCACATTTTTTTAACAATGAATCTTGTGAGCTTGTATGTCTAGTACGTGCCAACTTTAAAAAATGTTTCACAAGTACTTATGAAGTACAAGTCTAATGTGTTTGTCTCCAGTATTCTCTCCTACAAACCGTGGTGGAAGCGTGTCAAAAGAAGCCACAATGCAAGTTTAGCACTAAGCCGAAGCCAGGTCTGGTAGACCCTTGTCCTTTGGCAAGAAAGTACGTCGAGGTTGCTTATAAATGCCGTCCTTGTAAGTCCTTTTTCATTATCCTTATCTTCTTGCAAAAACATCGTCGGTGTTTTGTAGAAGGGTGTAGTTTTTTTAAATTTGTTTAAAAATTCAATTTTGATATCAGTTTTAAAATGGAATTTAAAACACGGGGTAAATATTTTAGAATAGAAAAACTAAAACGTAGCTCTTCTGTAAAATTTTTCGAAATCACTCTTTTCTATAAAACATCGACGATATGTTCTTGTACAAAGTTACATGTAATTTTAAAAGCGTGTAGACAAGTAATGTTTACACAAACCTTTAAGATATTATTGATGCAAAAATCGAACAAACACGAAGAAAAATTCTTTCGATCCGGTTGGACCGGAACCAGCGACTGTTTTGTCATAACGGGGCTACCGCTCTCCCAACTGAGCTACGAAACGAGTCAGCAGACCCGACGAATTTCTCTAAGTACTTGTTGCAGATCTTTGTTTTCGGGTTTAAACGATTTTTATGCCGTAAAATAGTATACGCCGTAGCATCATCACAGAGAATAGTAAGTTAAAGAGTATCTCAAGGTAGGGTATTGGGACCATTGCTATTCTTAATATATATAAATGGCATTTCTAAATCAATTAACGACCGTATGAATTCGCTGATGATTGTACGGTAATTTATGGCAATGAAACAAGTATAAATACAAATTTGAACTCTATTATAGAATGGCTGAAATGTAATGATCTAGTAATAAATCTTGACAAAACTAAAGTTATGAACTTTAAACAAAGATACAAAAAACCTATGCAAACTAGAGTGGTCTATGAAAGCAAGGAAGTCGGTGAAACAATGACAGTAAAGTTTATATATAGATAATAATCTAAAATGGCAAACACACCTAGAATATGTATGTGGTAAGATACTAAAGTTTTCTTATGCATTGTTTAGGCTATCGAAAATAATAAATTTAACTTAATTTACTTCTCGTAAAGCGTCGTCTCCGTTTATTTCAATTAGTCACACGATCCCGCCGTTCTCATCAACTGAAAAGTAGATTATGTAAAACTGCTCTACTTCAAAAGAGTGCAGAATTTAAGAAATTATTATTTAATTGCCTAAACGATATGACATTCTATAATATTGAGGATTTCTTATAAAATTCACATTTCATATTATTTAATTTGTTATTGATTATTATTTTACTATTGTTATTAAGTTTCATTAGTATTAGATTGCCTTGATTGGACTGCATGATTATAATAACATTACACATTATTGCATGAGAATTACCAAAACTAACAAAACTTTGTATGCCATAAGGCGGATCACAGTGATCCAAAATTCATTCTTGTAACAACTTTATAACCTGTGAATCACAAAGAAGTAAATGATTTTGATTTAATTTGATTTGAAAATATTTAAGATATTCGATCGGCCTCGTATTGACTTTTTATAGGAAGTAAAAGTATATTTAAAAAAAAAAACAACTTTTTGGACCCTTCACAGGCCCTGCACTCTTGTTCTCCATAGATATACTTTTCTATATCTATGTTGTTCTCCAATAATCTTCAATCTTGTGTAATACTCGACGAAATTAAAGGCCGCATAACATTGTCTTTTAATAAGGTCGAGTATTAATTATTTGACAGTAATTGTTTCGGATAGATATCGGATGGACAACGAGAGTAGATCCCCCAGGTCCCATGGTCACGGCTGAATCAGAAAAAATAGTTTAATTTCCTATGTGTAACAATCGCGAAAACCAAGAACTTGATATTTTAATTTTTTAGTTAATTTTTTTGTGTGTGTCAAAATGTTGGCAAGAATTCTAAATTATGATTATTCAGATTTGTGAACAAAAGATATTAGGCACGTAGAATTTAACAAACAATTAAGCGAAAAAATATAAAACATTGCAAACTCAATATCGTTTCCCAGTTCGCACGTTAGCAGCATTTTTCCATTAAACTTTTTTAATTCGGCAACACCTATTTCAACGTTCGCCAAAATGCGTACGGTAGCAATATTTGAGGCATATGTCAAATGAAACTGGGAACATGAAAATGCGAGAAATTATTCCCGCCTTTGCGTTTGATATCGAATCCACAGAATGCGTATTTACAAAACCTGATACATTTGAAAACCTCAGGCGTTAAGGATTACATTTCATATTATATTCGTAGTAATAATAGCTCCGAAAAGTAAGTTAAAAGTGACTTTATTCAAAATATGAATGTTACTGCGTTATTTACTAAGCTACGAAAACTGTTGTGCAAAATAAAAATACGTAAATAACCAAACGAAATACTGAAAGTTCCGAAAAATCTTCTTGACGTTGTACTACTCTACCAATTTAATTTATATTTTACCGAAAACTATTATTAGTCATATTTATCCTAAATTATATTAATTATAATATAATTTGACCTGAAAACATGTTCTGAAAATGTAACAAATTAGCTGCTTTTTCTTATGCTAACGTAACCTGACCTACTGAATAGGGGGCGCAACCAAGATGTGACCTTTGTAAAATACATTGAAATAATTTTTTTAGTCCCAAATATGGCCGCTAATGGCAGCACGCATAATTTTAATACAGTATAATAGTTTCTGTCTTATCAATACTATTTCATTTGTAGCGCCTAAGATGTAGTGGTCTGCCTACTTATAAAACGTATCGAACGATTTCGAATTCGACTTTAGTCTTTGTGAATACGCGCCACAAACGAAAACATTACATTGAATAACTGCGCTGATATCGTCCTTTATGAGTATAGTGGCTAAGTCGTCGCGGCCATTATCTGAAAATTATTGGCTCCTCGCTTTTGTTTCAACTAGTGATGTTTACGTTCCTTTCCTATGGGGTCTCTTGATTTTGAACCCAAAATTATTTAACGTACAAAACATTTCAAAACATTGTGGGTTTGAAATATTGAAACAATTAAACTTACAGCGATATTAAAATTAAAATCGGACCAATTATAACACAGCTGCGTGGGCGAGATAACTCTCGTTTAGAAACATTTCTGGGTGCAATTTGTGTATTTCATAAATTTGATGTTCATTCATGTATAAATTGTTATTCTAAATTTGTATGTATTTAAAACGTTTTAATAAGTATAAACAATTTATTATTTTTCTTAGCTTTCTAGCTTTTCTAAATGCAAGAATATTTTTCTTCAAAAAAAATTTCATTAAGTTGGATGCTTTTTACTCTTTGAGCCCGTGCAGTTATGAAAATATAAAAATTAAACGGGGAGTTGAGAAAACGGCACCATAATATTACAATCTTCTTCGTATCAACAAGACGTCGTTGAAGGTGCTTAAGTGATATCCAAAACAAGGTTAAACAACATTTATACGAAACTCGCCTATTGTCTTAAAAATGTTTGTTTTTCTGATTTGCATTAAATCAACTATGCAACCACATAAGATTATATCTCTTGGATATACGTATGACCTAATACGACGTATCTCTTAGCTCAACGCTTGAGTACTCCATTCATAGTAGTAGATTTATTATTCAAACACAATTCAAGTGCTACAGTATATCACAAACCGGATTTCAACACTGACATGTGACAGTTAAGTTTACGAATAAATATCCAACTGATAAGTCGTCAACAGAGATATTACTCATCTCCAGAAAGAGTATAATTAACGTGACTATACGTCCTACTTGGAGTGGGACTGCCCCACTGTTGAACTGCCTCAGTGGCTGAACGGTTACCATGCCGGACTGCCACGCAAAGGTCCCAGGTTCAATTCCCGGGCCGGGAGAAATATTTGTATGGCCTACATTTATTTCTCTCGTAAGTTTGGGTGTAATTTGTGGTTGTCTATGTGTGTCCATGGCATCCGCGACACAGAGTTTCCCTAGTGCGGGGCTATGTTGAGTGTGTGCGTTATTATTATTATTATTACTGTCCATAAAATTCTTAACAATGTCCATCTTTGACGAAACAGGACCCACGTGACATTACTTAAAAAAATAGCGCGAAAAATATAAAGCCAGCCCACAAGACTACAAAAGATTAGTTCTTTTTAAAATTTTTGATCATTAAACATTTTTAGGTCTTTTTTCATTAAACATTTCGGAACTACTATAAATATTTTTAAACCAATAATAAATATAAGGGCTTCCCGTTCTGAGGGTAGAAAAATAATGGTCACGTTAAGTATAATGCAATAACTTTCTCTATTTATTACCGAAATGTAGATAAGTTGTTACTGCACTCGTCCGTAATTAAATAAAAAAAAATATCAGTTATGATTTGTGACACTTTGAAGCCGCTGTGTTATATTATCCGAAGTATCCAAAGCAACCGTTGAATTATTACGTTAAGCGTGACATAACTTGATTGAGTCACTTAGCGTCTGTGTCAATCAACTATTAAATTAATTGTGTTTGAGCGATCGATCATAGTCAGCAATGTATGTATATTGGATTAAATAACTTTGATTAACGAATTAAATAACTTTTACATTAAATTTTCGTTATGATTTTAATAATAATATTATGTTGTTTTACTATATTATTTTTGTGAAATTACTCCAATTGAGTACATATATTTTATTGAACACAAAGTAATAACTAGACTAGAACGGTTAGATACATAAAAAATGTAAGAAAGTTTTTATACAGAAAATTTTAACATTTACCTATTGAATAGTTATAATTATAAATACGTAGAAAAATTCCTTTGATCTGCCTCTTTGTAAAAGAGTTCGTCCAGGGAACTACTGCCAACTTACCTATTTCTGCCACCTAGCAGTATTACTGCGCTTTGATTTTGAAGGGTGCTTGTGAAATTAGAGGCACATGGGACTTTACAACTTATGTCTTATGGTGACGGGCGCAGTGCCCCTCAAATCTTTGCGATTTAACGACAAGCGTGTGTTTACTAAAAGCGCATGACTTGTTTGTCCCGTCACTTGGTGGTAATTATATAATATTTGATTAAAATTGATTGTAATTAGATAGTTTTATATGTTTTCATTATAGTAAAAGCAATATATTTCTTTCTACGAATTGTAAT